AAAATCCTGACCTTGGTGTTGGTTGACAGTTGCTTTGAGTTCCAGATGTTCCTCAGTTGTAAATATGCTGCTCTTGCTTTGCCGATCCGCGCCTTCACATCTGCATCAGATCCACCCTGTTCATCAATGATGCTGCCCAAATATGTAAAGGTTTTTACATCTTCCAAATCTTCTCCGTCAATTGTGATTGGATTGGTGCATTCTGTGTTGTATCGGAGAATCCTGCTTTTCCCTTTGTGTATATTGAGACCTACTGCTGCTGAGGCTGCTGCCACACTGGTCGTCTTCTCCTGCATCTGTTGTTGCGTTTGGGATAGAAGGGCCAGATCGTCTGCGAAGTCTAGATCGTCCAACTGCATCCTAGATGTCCATTGTATCCCGTGCTTCCCTTCAGACGTTGACGTCTTCATGATCCAGTCGATCACCAGGAGAAAGAGAAAGGGTGAGAGTAAGCAACCTTGCCTAACACCGGTCTTCACTTCGAACGACTTTGTCAACTGTCCTCCATGCACGATTTTGCAGTGTAATCCATCATATGAGTTCTGTATGATATTGACTATCTTCTGAGGCACGCCGTAGTGTCGAAGAAGTTTCCATAGTGTTGTTCTGTCCACGCTATCAAATGCCTTTTCGTAGTCAATGAAGTTGATGTAGAGTGATGAATTCCATTCAATTGATTGTTCCACAATGATCCGTAGAGTTGCGATTTGGTCTGTACACGATCTATCCTTACGGAATCCTGCCTGTTGGTCACGAAGTTGGGCGTCTACGCAGTCCTTCATCCTGTTTAACAATACCCTGTTGAAGACTTTTCCCGGTATTGAGAGAAGAGTGATGCCCCTGTAGTTATCACACTTGCTGAGATCGCCTTTCTTCGGTATTTTGATCAGAAGTCCTTCTTTCCAGTCTGTTGGTACTTGTTCCTCATCCCAAATCTTATTGAAGAGAATGTGGAGTATCCTTGCAGTTGCCGCTACGTCTGCTTTTAGTGCCTCTGCTGGGATGTTGTCCGGTCCTGCTGCTTTGCCACTCTTGATTTGTCTGATGGCCATGCTGATTTCTTCAATTGTTGGTGGGCCAACATTGATTGGGAGGTCCGTGGGTGCTGCTTCGATGTTGGGTGGGTTCAGTGGAGCTGGTCGATTCAAGAGTTCTTTGAAGTGTTCTACCCACCTGTTTTGTTGCTCTTCAATGTTGGTGATTACCTCGCCTTCCTTGCTTTTCACTGGTCGTTCTGGTTTGCGGCGATTTCCAGAGAGTTTCTTTGTCGTGTCATACAATTGTCTCATGTTTCCTTCTCTTGCAGCCTTTTCCGCCGTCGTTGCTAAATCTTCCACATATTTACGTTTGTCGGTTCTGATGCTCCTCTTCACTTGTTTGTTTATTTCCGTGTATTCAGCTTGTGCCTTGGCTTTTTCTGCTCTTGTTCGGCTGGTATTGATCGCTGCCTTCTTGTTCCTTCTTTCTTGAATCTTATCCAGTGTATCAACAGTGATCCATTCCTTGTGGTGGTGCTTCTTGTGACCCAGGACCTCATGACATGTTGAAGTGATTGCCTCTTTGATCCCCTTCCAGTTGCTCTCCACAGTAGTTCCTTCTCCATTGAGTAGATCATGAAAGGCCTGGAACTTGTTGCTGAGGACTATCTTGAATTTGTTGAGTTTGTTAGTATCCTGGAGAAAGGCCGTATTGAACTTTTGTGATACTGTCTGCCCCGTTGTCCAGTGCTTCTTGAGTTTCAATTTCATCTTGGCGACCAGTAAGTGATGATCTGATGCTATATCAGCTCCTCTCTTGGTTCTCACGTCCTCTATAGTCCTCCTGAACGTTTTGTTGATGCAAATATGGTCGATTTGGTTTTGTGTAGAGTGATCCGGTGAAGTCCATGTGGTTTTGTGTATGCGTTTATGTGGGAATATGGTGCCGCCTATGACCAGCTTATTGAAGGCACATAGATTTGCAAATCTCTCACCATTTTCGTTTCTTTCTCCCAGTCCGTGTCGTCCCATGATGTCTTCATATCCAGTGTTGTCCGTTCCAACCTTGGCGTTGAAATCTCCCATCAGAATGGTCAGGTCCTTTGTTGGGCACTTCTCGACGATTGACTGCAGCCTATTGTAGAATTGATCTTTAGCGTCTTCATTGTAGTCGTTGGTAGGCGCATAGCATTGGATGATGTTCATTGAAATGCCCTCTTTCTTTGTTTTGAACGAGGCTTTGATGATCCTTGGTCCATGAGATTCCCATCCTATAAGCGCATTTTGCGCTTGTTTGGACAGCATCAATGCAACTCCTTGTGTATGTGGTGCATTTTCTTCTTCATGGCCGGAGTATAACAGGAGCTCTCCTGTAGTTAGTCGTTGTTGTCCAACTTGTGTCCAATGTGTTTCACTGATCCCAAGTACCTCTAGGTTGTATCTTCTCATTTCTGCAGCAATTTGGAAGGCTCTCCCGGTGTCCCACATTGTACGAACATTCCATGTACCTAAATAAATGGTCGCTCTGGTTGTCAGAAGGGGCATCGGCCTCGTAACTTCCGAAGGAATTCGGCTTTCATCATGAGGCGTCATAATTCTTCTAAATGAAGACCTTCTGACTCCCAGGGCAGAGTTTAAAAGGTTTGAATAATTTTTTCTGGTTAGCGTTTTTTTAGCGAGTTAGTTTTCTACGGGATGGGGACGCTAACCCCATGCCCAACCCTCCTCCTTTATCCGGGCTTGGGACCGGCAGTAGCCCCCGGAGGGACTCCAGGCGGAGTTATTCGACTCAAGCTGAACATAAAAGGATAGTCAATAAACAAGGAACGAATCGAGCGAAGAAATTTCTTCTCAATTAGCATATATTGCTATTGCTGATTTAACTCGTAGATCTTCCAATTCCACAGGATTGCTTGAAATGATAAACATAATGTTAACCGATGAATGACGTACAATAATCAAGTATATTATGTTAATAAAAATTTGTAAGATATAATTATTATCACAATTCAATAGATAAATTGGTATCAAAAGAGATATACAACTGGTAAACAAAGGAGTGTTTTATTTTCAATTAAGTGTAACAGTTTTTTTTTTACAAAATATTAGGTTAAAGTAAAACAAGACTCATTAATATTTCAGGAACTGCGTTTGATAAGTACCTCATTCACCAAATTTGATCATTAAATGTAATCAACTCCCATCATTTCATTTTTGTGTTTAATGAATAAAGGAGTTCGAAGATATATTTGGAAGGTACGCGACATGTCGAGGAGTATTTGATATAAGATGACTAGTTGTTGGGAAGGATGCGTATCACGGCTTACCCAATGGTAATCAGGTGTGGATGCATGAATGAACGCTTTCAACTATAGCGTTTCCAATTAAACTAATGAGGTCGGCATAAATATCGAAGACTTACAGAACTTTATTTTGTAGATTTATTCACCGCTACAAGTCCATTAGAATATGTATATAAATTCGATGTGAATGTGTTTATGTTTATTGACGTATGTCAGCTTAGAAATTATTGACAACAATGAAATACTGGACAAATATTTCATTCTGCTTTGTTAGGAGCCTCCCAACAACGTACAATCAATGCACTATGAACTTGATGTGTTTCAGAGAGCGGATTCCCTTTATATCACTAATTTAGAAAGCAACAGTTCAATACTCTCCATTTTACATAACTAAATCCATTCATACTATGTTAATTAAAACAAAGGTTTCACAATTTAAAAAATTTGACATCAGTGAACATCATACTAAAATAAACCATGCTTTTTCTGTTTTGTTTCAAGTTCTAAACAATCTACCTAAAGGATATAAATTACCAATCTCCTACATAACTAAAGCCATCTGAATCAACTCTACAAAACCAAATTTATGTATCCAAAAGAGGCATGTTAAGCATTTATGTTTAATCTGGTCCTCGACTGAATTACTATATACCTAAACTGGATTTTTATAAACTTCATACCCTTCTCCAATTCCTTTGTATTTACATTCACCATGCCTTGTCAGTTATTCTACACATTCATCTTTTCTGATTCATATGAATTTCTTATTGTAATTATCTTGATAACACTTCCTTTGATACATAATATATTCACATGACATTATCGTTATCATTAACGAGACAAAATAACCTTATCCACACGACTTATCTTTATTATTATTATTATTATTATTATTATTATTATTATTATACAGACTATAACTCGACACCTTACAACGAATTATTCTGACTTATTATAAATGAGCTTAGTAACATACAAATGACTATTAATGAAGTATTTATATCGTAACTGATATAAATACATTTCACATGTAATTCATTAAGATGCTTTATTCTAACCTATATAGAATAAAATAACTTAATAATTATCAACTTATAACTGTAGAGCTTGATAATATAATTATTCATAATACTTATCCATTTAACTATGTTGTTTTTTTAATAATTTTTTTAACATGAACTAAACAATAATTTTTAAAAAAAATTTCAAGAGATTCTTACTAATCAATTTGTAAAAATGAAAAATATCAATAATAAACAATCAATAAATGTAATTTTACCTTATTAATCTTCTAACCAGAAATATTGATTAATTTTATGAATCGATTCATTTTAAAAAAATATACATATATAATTTATGATTATAAATCTTATACATGTATAATATTACTAATCAATAAGTTATATTCAGTAGGAAAAAATCAATAACTTCTCAAAAATAAACACTTAAATTTATTATTATTTTTTTTAAAAAAATATTTAATTGAATAAACAATAATTACAAAAATAAAAAAAATAATAATGTGTTATAAATTTTTTTTATTTATTCATTAAAACCATTTTATACAATATGAACTTTGATTTACAAAATCTCTATATCAACTCAAAATGAAAAGAAAAGAAAAGAAAAAAAGATAATATGCACTTGCCATTTTATTAATATTATTTATTCATAGAAATAAGAATATAATTGTTATATATAAGTTTAATGAATTGTATATTGAAATAATGATGATCTAATATTATTTTCAAATAATTTTATATGTATATTCTATTATGTAAGTTTATATCATGCAGTTGATAAATGAATTAATAATTGAATTATATTATTTATGTATGTTATCATTTGATAAAAAGAAATGAATGAAAAAATATATTCTGTTCATAAGAACGTTTTTAGAAAACAATTAAATTTATACATATAATTATTACTATTGTATTGTAGTTTAACCTTCCTATCATGAGTCAGTTGAAGCTAGACCGCCACGGAAAACCTGAAAGCACTAGACGGCCGTTTTGTTCTAGTATGGCACTACTCAGCAGTGAGCATCCACGATCCCGCCCCCCAGGAGATTCGACCCCAGGACTTATCAGTCTGTCGCGCGAGCGCTTAACCATTAGACCACTGAGCTGGCCGGCATCCAACGATGTTAATGTCTAACTTCAAACAATCCACGAAATTGGGCCACCGTTCATCATTGTCCTCAGTGGGTTGATATCTCACAACAGACCTCGTTGAACTCCAATGGTAACGGCTTCTCGTTGGTAATCCAGGAAATGCTTCTTGAAGTCAGTCACTAGTGAGCAGATGATTATTATTAAAACGGCTTTTTGTGGAGATTTTTTTTAGAAATTTCAGTAGTTGAGACTGATAGTTTTGGGTTGGAATTTCGCGGGGGCAGGATCGTGGATGCACACTGCTGAAGAGCCCCATAGTAGGACGAAACGGCCGTCCAGTGCTCTCATGTTTTCCATGGTGGTCTAGCTTTAAGTGAACTGATTTTAATTAGAACATTATTGGAAACCTGGTAACATTAAACAGTCGTTTCGTCCTAGTATGGGACTTTTCGATAGTGAGGGTTTATTGTCAATTAATTGAAGCTGCACTCCATTAATGTTGCATGCTGAATAAATGGTCTATAGGTTAAGAGTTCTCCCTCGAGAGAGATTGAAGGCAAATGATTCGACTATGGATGTGGGATAGTGGACAAGCTTTGCTGAGGAATCCGGTACTAGGATGAAACGGCCGTTCAGTGTTTCCAAACATTCAATGGTGTTCTAGCTTAAATCATATTTTATTTGAAACCAAGGAAGTTAACGGATTATGAGATCATTCGAAATGAATTTTTCTTTAAATTATCACACGATATTGGTGAAATAAAACAATCAATGAGACTATAAGCAAAGATGGATAGTGGCTAGCAGTAGAATCCAGGACGCGCGTTTCGTCCTTGATGGGACTCATCAGCTGGATGCTCCTGTGTCTCAGAGTTGATGTTCACTCTGGGACTAGAGCCCAGTGCTGTTCACCGCAAATGCCATCAATTGCAGTCCTAAACATCAATGGGAAGATTCAAGTATATAATATCAAGTAAATTTAGTCGATTAGACTGTTTTAATAGCGGAAACCAATGGTTGTATCTAAACAGGTGACTGAAAATTATTCTCTCATAAGTTCATACCGCGTTTGTGGTCATCAATAAAAGCTTTTCAGTAAAACTTCAGCAAGATATTTCTGTAATACAAAATATGGACCACTGAATTCCAAAAATATCATGCTGACTGTTAGACTGGAATGTATTAACTTTTTCGCATGTAGAATCATTGGTGTAAAAAAAACTATTTATTTGGTTATTATGAACTAAACAAACTAAGAATAAAGTTAAAATGAAGCTTGGATCGATGGGGAATCTAAAGACGGAGGATAATGGTTTGGATTGAACCCCAAACAAGTCTTCATCCTCACGTAAATTTAATCGCACTTACTGAGAACGATGTAGCTGCAAAGCAATACCATACTTGACTAAATTGCATATTATAATGACATTTCAAAGTGTGAGTATGAGAGTTTGTGCTTCATTTACTAACAAGATGGTACACGTTAAACTAAAAATGATTATAAATGAAACTAGTCATACGCATGTCACATTTCTTGATATTAATTGTACCAGCGTTTTTATATCATAAAAAATATCTCTTGATACATTCAAATGAGTAGAAAAGTGGCTTATATGTTCTCTCTCTCTCTCTCTCTTTATATATATATATATATATATATATATATATATATATATATATATATATATATATATATTCTGTGAACTGAATGGGTTATTGAACTTGATGCATGTAATTGTTTATAAATCACTTTTGTTCATAATGCAGTTCTTGTGGAAAACATGTTCATCTAGAGACACTAATTATAAAATGGAGACTACATTGAATAAGTTTTTCTTACAAGTGATTTGCTTTTTAAAAAGTTTTGATTAATGCTAACATTTAATAATGAAGTCTAAGTTTAAACAACTTCCAAAAATTCAGTCTGTTTGGACCTTTCTTTATCAAAAGAATAATGAAGACGAGAACGAAGCCCGATTAAAGAGAAGTATTCACACTGTTTGACAAATTAAGTGATTTCTTCATTTATAAAATATCGTTTTCTATATGTGATTTCACTTCAAGAATACATAACAAGGGATATACTGGAGTTGAAACTGATTATCTTAACTGAAAGTTTACGTACTAAGGTGGTTTTGTTAATACCTTTTACAATTTGAAAGTAAACTGAATATTTATTGACAATAGTACGAAATTAGATAACTTTTTCCGTCCTGATTTTTAATTTCTCAGCAATATACATCGCCAAACAGAATCAAATCCAGGACTAGAAGTTTTGCAAATCTGATTAATTAGAAGTTTTAGGTATACGCTATCATATGCAAACTAATCAAATCTATCGGAAATAAGATCATAACTCATCAATAATATTGGATGAGAAACGTGCTATTATTGCAAATAGATGATTGAATAGATGATTTTCGATTCAGTGATTCAAGGATATTGTTGTATTTACAAGAACTGTAGGCTCTAACTTCAAGAATCTCTTAGGGTCGCCAATGCTCAATGCCTAAATGTGTTCCTTGATTTCTCATATTCGTTTAACTGATTTCCATTCAGAATAAAAATCATTTACAAGTTGATGTTTATTTAATTTCCGAGAAAAGTTATATTGTAAGAAAAATAATTCTGTTCATCATAGGCTTGCAATAAGTTGAAAAGTTAGTGAAAGTGTAAACACTAAAGAAGAGGGTGAAAAAATTTCATCAAAATTTGACACAATGAATGCTAGGTGGCATGCTCATGGAAGAAATGATATTCCAAAGATTACAAAATCAACTGAAAAGTGGAAATGTGACTTCTCTTATTTCATCCAAGCTGTTCATTCAAAGAATAGATAACTTTTACAAATCAACATTTAATGTTTCAAAACGAATATTTAAAGAAATTAACATTTGTTTGGATAGTAAAATTTTACGACTCATATCAACTTGTCAATTAATATTAATGCGTCTAATCATGGTATGGTTCTATTTATGTTGTATCTTTAATCCCACTTCTAAATACATGATATTGAAGACTATTGCTTGGGCGTTGATAGATAATAGTCTGAAAATAAATTCCTCTATTGTACTTGCATATAAAAAGTAGTATTGTGGTGTGCGCTATTTATGCGGACAGATATAAGTAGTATGTAGCAGGAGGAGAATTTGGAATACCCATCAATAAAAGATTAAAATGGAGATAACTGGACAGAAAACAGAGAGTGATCAGAATAAGAACACAATTCGAAGAATGATGGAGTACGTAAAGGACAACTGAAGGAAGATGTACATATGATATATATAATGTATAATTTTCATATTTTACAAAGAAACTGTTTACGTTCATTACAATATGATAAAATACAAGAAATAATTTCTTTTAAATACTACACTGAAATCCACAATTTCACACTACTTCAGATGTATTATGATTTTTAAACAAGTTAGGTATAAACTACAGTAGTCTGTTACTTGTTGCTAAAAATCCATGTATCACATGACACATGGAATAGGTCAAAGATCATAGGTGAAGATTCATTATACACCAAAATAAACCAAAATGAAGTTTGAACACACTGATATTTATATGATTTTTGCCAATAGTCGAATCCGAATAATTTAAACTGAATAGTATTTGGCAATAATGAATCAATTGTAAGAAACCAGTTTACATTATCATAAAATTATATTTGAAATAATCTCAGAGAGTGAAATTTAAGTAATTCCAACGTTTTGTCCAGCAAACTTGTCTGGACTTCATTAGGGTAATAATCGAAGTCCATACAAGTTTACTGGACGAAACGTTGGAATTATTTAAATTTCAATCGCCGATATTATTTCAAATATAATTTTCACATATAATGACTGCTCTATACTCGGCGCCCAATCTTTGTCAAACTATTCATTCTAATATTAAAGAATATTCATATAATATAAAAATAAGCTGTTGTAACCAATAAATAAACTAGATATCACAGATTAATGGAGAGCATCAATTTTGTGTTTTACTCTCACTTTAATTGATAACTTAGTCATCTACAATTGATTAATCACTGAGAAATGAACAATTTCATGTATGTCAGTTCTCTTTTATTGTGGATCAAATTCTATTAATGAAGTCGCAATGTGGCCACTAGTCCAAGTGACCCAACATTACATGCACAATGTTGAGATGTAGGATTGTGGTTGGAGGTAGTCGACAGAAAAACCATGGCCTAAGTTTTGTGCTAATCGGCTCTCGTCAGTAAGGTGTGCTTTAAGTGGCTTACTTATTCAATAAATTTAAACCTTCACAAATCAGATAGATTAAACCACATATCAAGTGAAAATTATAAAAAAACTGAGAAACGTATAACACTTGATTTATTGATTGTCTCAATCTAGTCTGTCTCTCGACCAATTTATGGATTGTTCAAAAATAAAAAAAACATGTAGTTTTATATCACTCAGTACTTAAATTATTTTAGATAATAAACAGTTGAACTCTATGCTGACCTTAAATTTATAATCACATAAACACATTCGCATTTCAATCGAATTCAATCCTTGGGCGGTAAATATCATTCATAGCTAGGTAAAGTTACTGTAATTAAACTATTATATCGATTTAGATAGTTCATTAGAAAATACAATTCAAGTAGTATTTACTTAAGTCATTTTATTGTGAGCTCAATAATTTACTATTAGAATGATTCATTGGAGTTGCAATTAGTAAAATCAGATTTATTTGAATGTCAACGGAAGAATAATAATTAATAATGTCATTAAGGAATAAAAACAAGATTCAAGTCAAGAAATTAATTTGTTCGTATGAATAGTCAAAGGAAAGAAAAAAAATGGATAAACGGTGATCATTATTTTTGTCATATTAGTGTAGTGATCAATATCCTGCTTCTACAGTACTTAAATGCCATTCGATTTCTGTCGATCAAGCTGCAATATCTGGGTTACAATCCCATAAAAGTATCAGGGCTCCTTGCCGATGAGTGCTCCAAAAAGTTTCCAAATCGTTTCACTTTCTATGATTTAAAATTATCCACCTTATCTCAAAATTGTTATTAAGTTAAACACTTAGTGGTTGTATTGTTTGAAGTTGGTTTTCATGACAGATCATCATCATTTGGAGAATATTTGGGAAATCGTAAGCTCTAGATAGTTGTTTTGTGGGTGTATATTAATCAGGTATAAAGTACTTTAAGAAACAACTATCCACTCGTTTGTAGCTTTCATCCTCTTTAGCTGACATTATTTCATAATGGTAATTCGGATTTTGAATTCGCTGTCTATCAATGTGTTCATAAATTAATTAAGTAGTCTATAACTCATCAGTAAAACAGAAGTCAGTCAGCTCAAAATTTGTTGAAGAAAAATTTTATTGAAATCAAGTAATCCATTGATGATGTAATCAGTACTAAGACATGATACATAAAAGCCAATCGGGCGTAATGTAATGATAGGATTCAATTGAGATAGATTTAGGCTGATAACTATCATTGAAACATCTTTTTAGCAATTGGGCACCAAGTTTAAAATTTCTTCGACTTTTGGTTAAACAATATATCACCAAGGTCTAAAAATACATTAGGATTCGAACCTTTTGTTTTTATTGTATTTGCAAGTCGTAGTTGCATAATAATAATAATAATAATAATAATAATAATAATAATAATTTAATATCCTTCAGTTAATAGTACACCACAACAATAATTGTTAACAATTTATGAAGTTAGCAAGCAGAACGTATTACCGAATAAACTCTTTGATAATTTACAAGTCGAATATCGGCTATACTCATTGTACAGACTAATTCAAAATGGCCCGATTAAAGTAATGTGTGTGCATACTACAACGAAATTCAGGTGATCAGATATGCATAAATGTCTGTGCTTACAATAATCCAGTACTAGTCATTAGGTATGTTCAATATTTTTATATAAATAACTGCAATGAAAGCAATCTGATTGCAAACTTTAATAAACCAAACAATTTTCGACACCTCCTTAGGCAAGGTACGTTGCTTAACCAACAAATGTTAGCAGCGTAATATTAAAAAGTCAAATTCCTGGGCTTTTTCAAAAGATTTATTTCATACACAAACAAGCAGCAGACCGAATATGAATTGAGCATGTAATTTACAAGACCTGAAATGCGTAAAAAATTCTAAGTCAATATTTGTATATATTAAACAAAACTCAAGAATTGTCAAAAATTTAAGAGCATGATCGAGGGTGCGTGTAATAAGGCTAATGCGCACTAATATATTATTAATAATTACTCAATAAATTGCATAATATTTGTTCAAAAGGTCAAGAACTGTTTAATGTCATGTACACTGAAGACAATAAATGTAGCATCGTTTACAACTTATGCTGGTGTGGTATTTGTACGAACCAATGATCGTTTTGTACATAATTCCTGGGTGATTTTGAATTCTAAGTACAATATGTTCGTTGGCGCTTATTTATTTCTGTCTGACTTAAATCTCACTGTTCCGGGAATTCCTAGTTAGCGCAGTAATTCGAATACTTTTAACTATCATACGAACTGTAGTGCTTGTGTGAACTAATGATTCTTTTTTACTTCATGACTGCCTGATTTCGATTGCCAGATACGACACGTTCGTTCGTCCTCATATAATTCTCCTTGGTTAAATTGTCTTATTTCTGGGATTACTAGTCTGTACTATAATTCGAATACTTCAAATTATTACACGAACATATGCTATTTCAACGCCCACTGATAATGTATAATGAGTGACTGTGAAACAGAAAATATTTTCCTGAGCTGGAATTCATAAAAAGCTTTTGTCATTTTATGACTGCATAACAATAAACAAAGTGAAATATGATGTAAATTTTCCTATGATTTTCTGTTTGAGAATATGTCACTTTTATTTAATCACAAAAAGTAAATCATGTGTTGCTTGGTTGAAAAGCCACACAACCATTGAACACCACTCAACAAACTAAAGGATACTCAAGGGGACCTGAAGAGTTGAATGGAATATGAAATTCGGTTTTCAAACCACAATTCTACATTGACAGATGCATGGTAATACACTTGGAATAATCTGGTCTCAGAGAAGGATATCTATCACAAAATGTGGAAATCCACAAATATTATGAACTAGGAACTAACTATGATCCATTTCGATGGATATAATCGTGGTTATCGTTGGTTCTGTTCAGTCGTACCAACGTTCCACTTTAGAGACAGAATATAACATTCGTAGCTCCGGTTGTGGATATTGTTTTTGACGTTTTACAATGCGTGATTGGAACTCAGAAACAGTGAAAACAACCAATGGAAAGACATGCAATATTCATTCTTTCTATTAACATTTTAGACATTCGTAATCAACGCTGTACCCAAACAACCTTTACTGAATCAGTGCTTGGAATTTGTTTTTATCGCCTAACAAATCCGCACACTGTGTTATTATCCCTTTATTTGCACTGGTTTGGCAGTCGGAAGTAGTTTAATACGCTGTGTTTCATTCACAGTTTAAGCGTTGATATTCCAACTGCGATGGCCTATGTGAAAATGGTAGTCATTGATATGTGTGGATATGTTACACGAAGTTCAAGGAAATTGTCAGATACATTGACCAATATCAATATCGTTGTATTTATTTTACACCCCGGATCTGAAACAGATTTTGGGAGTTACATAATAGATTGTAATGTTTTGGCAAATGATCTTCACTGTTTGTTTATAGAGAACTGGGACTAAAACCATCATTTTACGTTAACACTGATATGTTAATTCTTCGGTTTTGGTTGGAACTGTGAGCTTGTATTTTCATCTTATCACATGGAAGTGAGTAGTAGATAATAAATATGTAGTGCCCTACTTTTACCATGAGAACTTGATTGATTTGATGGAAACAATCATAATTGTAACTAATTGTACCAGTGATGGTTTTACTGTGCTCGTCTGTTTAACTGTGCTAAAGACAGCCATATTACTGCTTCCTTATCCTTCGATTGATTGTGACCTTGCACGGGTTCGGTTACGCTCGGTAACCACGCTTGTACTCCTTTGACACGAACTCGGTATCCTTTCGATACCACGAAATCGCCAACAAATACATTTAGACTACAGCCATCAACTGTCTTCTGATGTTTCGCTTACGGGGGATTTTATCGGTTAAATGGCACGTAGTCTTCTTGTAGTGGTGTTCATAGTCAATCGCGACTCGACTCCGCGCTACAAATGTAGCAACCCATATTGTCATTGAAGAAACATTATTTATTTATGACGTTATCGTTTAATTGGTCTGGACAGTCGTAATGATGGTTAATTCACAAGTAGAATGGTCACTTGGAAATTTGGGGCACGACTACACAGTATCACATGTAAAAGAGTGAGCATTAACGTCCAAAAATGCATAGAAAGATATTCAGATAAAGTCAACTGTGTGAAAGACAGTTATCCA